CCTGTCTTATTAAACTGTCTTTTTCTCAACTCACGGGCTTCACTTTCCATTTCTCTCCCCCGTCCCAGAGAGGGAGGGGGAGGGTGAGCGAACGGCTGCGTGGTGTTTAGCTGCCGGCCGGGTTAAACCATGACAATGGCAAAAGGTCAAGAGTTTATTTTGCATTATCTGTAAGGAAAAGTGTCATGGGGAAGCCCTTCTTAATAGTTGTCTGAATAATAATCTTCATATTAATAGAAAATTAGTGTTCAAAAGACTGTGTTTTCATCTCTTTGCAGAAATGTTTGGTACTTCATGCACCAGTAACGACTACATTTAATTAATATTTGGGGCTTAATATATAAATATATAAGAATAAGAACAGTGGAACTGAAGGAGACATCATTTTAAGTGAGCTATGACAATACATAGTTATAAGGACTTGGTGTGCATTTAGTATAAAGTCACATTCTAATTCCTAAAGTTGCCTTGTTTCATCTCTCTTGACCACGAGGTGTCACTATGGCACCTAAATATCAGCAACCGCTCTGCAGAGGGGGAGGGCAGAGAAGAAAAGCTATCAGACTCTCATGGCTCCATGAAAAATTGAAGGGTATTTATTTTCTGGTAGGCAGCCAGGCTGAAAATACTATCTGAATTGAAAGCCTTTCATGAAACATCTGGGCAGTTAAATTTTGCAAACTTCAAAGATGTCCAGTACCACACTGACATACTGATTTCTTTCTTTAGTGAAAAATCACTTAGGCTAACACAAAAAAAGCCTCTGTAAAACTGTTTCATGCTGAAATTAATGATCAGAATTACTTCTCTTAATAAAGTGAGTATCACAGGAGTGCCAGTCAGTATAGTTAAACTGCACCAAACTCAAACTCTCAGGGATTTGTGGGACTGATGTCTAGTTGTCCAAAAACAGTGGCCAGTTTTGCACTGGATTTTATGAAATTTGCAACTTTAATCTCCAGATTTCACGTTCTGTACTTTGTGTGAGTAAAAGTGTGTCTATTTTGCTTTTGTAGTCTGTCATTTTCTAACTGTCTTTCAAGAGCTTGATTGATTTTTTTTTTTTTTGCTGGTAAAAATAAAACTAAGCTTATAATACTGAATTTAAGAGCTTGTTTTTGTTATTTCAATATTCTACATGCAAAAACTTGCATCTAAAAGCAGAACTAGAACTAGATAAAGTATTTCCCAGATAACCTAATCCTACTGTCTGAGGCATAGGATTATATGGTCATATGCCTGGTTAAATTCCCTCTGGTGCTGGTGTATGAAACATTTTTTTTTCTCCTCACAATGAGTGATGTAAAGATAAATAGCCCAAGTCTATGCTAATAACCCTGTTCACTGAGCTGCTTGGGGTGGTAATTCAGGTGCTAATACGTAATACGTACTTGAATAGTTATCCTTGGGAATGGAAAAAATACACTAACCACTTCCCAATTCTTGTTCAAGTGCTTATAATAATGGTCTAGATAAGAGTATATTTTACACATGGATAAAGAACAGAAATATACTGGTGTCTTCTCTTAGGAGATGTGGCCCTGTTAAAGTACTTGTTACGTAAGTGGAAAAATACTAATTCAGCCTCTTTATAATGAGACTTTTTCAGTGAGAGAGATGTAAAATAAATTGCATGCAACATACTCATCTCACAATGTGACATCAATTGTAAGGATAAAGTGCAAAGAAAAAGTCAGTCTTTAGTAAGACCTGTCATTGACTTATAGTCACCACAGATCATACTTCAACTTTTAGAAACTCTGCCAAAGACAGGCCCTGTGATTTAACTCCTACTGCTCGTCTTCAGAAACCCAGCCTATAAACCAGGCTGTGCTCCTTTCCGACAGGAACACTAAACCTCACGACTTTGCATGCTCAACTAGAGGCAACGGTCCTGAGTCACAATACATTGCAATGCAGTGAAGAACATGCTCAGATTGAGGAGCGAGGTACTAGCTAGCACTGAAGTTGGGAAGAACCCTGTGTTTGGGGAGCTTGAGGCATCATTCAACTCTTAACTAAAAGGCTACAAGCAATACAGAGGAGTTTCATTTGCCCTCACATCAGTAAGTCTCAGCTCTGATGCTATGGCCTACTACAATTGAAATACACTTTATATGGAAGGGTGAATTTCTATACACAGTTTTCTCACGTAACATATGTTACATGGTATGAAAATACCTTCTTAGTTAAGAACAAACTTGGCTTAGAAAAAAAAGTTTATAGATAATAAAAAGCAGTGCTTGTACAGATTTTTCCTCTTCAAGCTTTGAAAAATGCCAACTGTTTTAAGTAGCTCTCAACACCTTTACATTGTTATATGAACTCAAAGTAATTGAGATTATTCCCTACATTTTATACGCCTACCAGTTATTTTAAAATGTGAGAGTGTTTTCAAACCAAGATTCTGTTTTGCTATCTCTCTGCAACCAAGCAGCATCGAAAAGTGTTTGTGTTTTGTTTTCATCATTACTTTGTTTTGATTTCTTTAATTCTTATGATAGGAGCAAAGGGACTTTAAGTTCATTGAATAATTTAAAAGCTGGAGAAAATTTCCGAGCTGATGACACCAATCCTTTTAGCAGATGTAACGTGGAAAAGCCCTTCAGCCTTTGTGAAGGTTTACATTAACTGTGAACTTGGCCTTTAGTGTTCCTAGTGTTATTTCTGCAACAAGCTGCACATGAACATGCCTATTTGCTATGGAAAGCCACAGGCTGGGGGAAGCTAAAGCAATACTGCAGGCTCTAGATCTTCCATTTGTAGACCACACGTGCCAGTTTTCCCTCCCCAAATGTGATTATTACATTTACAACACAAACCAGAACATCAACAAAACTAGAAACTAAGCTGTTCACTGGTACCTCCAGCAGAGAGCAAAATAAACACTTTCCTGCAGCATGCTTTTTTTTTTTTTTTATGGCCAGAATCAAATTTCACATCAACCAAATCTAGAAAGCGACAGGTCACAATGCATGCCTTTAAACCAGATAAACCAAACCAACCCCCCCAAATTCTTAACTGCCTCTAAGTATGTTATCAGCAAAGTCTGCCAGCTGTCAGTTCAGTCACCAGCCCACGTTCTGCAATGGTTATTCTTTCTGTCATTCTTTTGTTTGATTATGGACTGTCTTGTCTGTCTCTTAAGGCCTGTCCCAAAAATATTCTGTTACTTCAAGTCTCTTGGGAAAAAACAAAAACCATGTCTCTGCACTTCAGTTCCAGCTCACTAAGATTGTGGAGGAGCACAGAATGAGGACCAGGTACGCAGACCTCCTTGCTTTACCAAAGGCACAGTCAAATGAAAAGGTTACCACAAAGCAGCTGGTCTGTAATAGGCGACACATGTCTTTAGCCTAAGACAAATGAGAGGTGATCCCAGTTTAGTCCTTATTCCTCCAAATTATTATTATTTATAATAATAAAAGTCTGATATAAGTAACTGAGCCTTCAGAAAGTTCCCTGACCAGCAGGAAAGTTTCTCACCATCTGCCCCTAGAATTTTAATTTGACGGCCTCGCAGCATTTGCCATGATTTTGACAGTGCTTGACTTTGTTTTTTAGTAAGTTGGCTTCTAAAGCATCTTTTTGCTAAAAGACCCAAAGGGCCTTTCACCTATTCAAAAGTTAAACTTAGCTTTTTAGGTTTTAGCCACAGGATTGTGGAACAAGAGCACAAGACTCCCATTCAGAGGAGTTTCAAGCTATGGGAGTTATATGCAAGCAGGAGGAATCAGTCATGTCAGAAATATTTGACGTTAAAATAAGTAAGGGTTTATTATTATTACTTTATTACAATTATTTTAATCATTTCTGGCTATAAAATTATGGGCTGTGTGATCACTATTGGTCCCGTAAGACTTTCTGACCGGTTACAGGAGCCAAACTTAAGACATAAATATTGTTGGTGTAATGTCCTGTAGCTACATGGGATTATCAGTGCCTTAGCTTTCATTTAAAAGGCTGCTTCTTTCATTGCAAAATCTCCACACCTCACAGAGGGACCAGAAGGCAAAAGAGAGTAACCAACTGTACCAGATTCTGGCTTGCCTACCTGGACTTGCTGCCAAGACACAGCTACTGCCTTGTGCAAAGTGCCCCAGGCACCACACACGGCACGGGAACCCGCAGCCCCCGTATGGAGAGTGGGGGCTTGGCTCAGCTACCCACATCCACATGCCCTCCACAGTGCTCTTGCTCTGGGGTTCATGAGCAACCCTCTCCCTGCTGGTGGCTGGGACTCATGCCTGACTGCAGAGATGGGCCCTGGAGGGGCTGCCCTCCAGATAAACCAATACAGATCTGCTGTACAGTCTGCCAAATAGGCACTTTCACAGCAGAAGACATCTTCCCCAGAGAAGGTAAAGTTATGCCATAAGAGACATTCAACCAGACCAGATACCGGATCACCTGAGCATCCCTGAGACCTTCTTAACGCTGAAGAAAACAGAGTGCTCCAGAGAGCCTCAGATGAACACAGGTGGAACACACGAAGGTCCCTAGTGTTTTCTCCGTGTATTTAATCAGATGCATACATCCCTTACAAAGTGGCACAAGAGTTTATGCTATTAATGAATGTAGTGTGTATGACAGATAATTAAAGGAATGCTTCCCCAAGGAAGCTGTGAACCTGACACCTATACAATAGGTGACAGAAAAATTACTAAGAGCTTTTTTTCCTTCTTATATTCTGCAGAAGGAAATGAAACTGAAACATTATTTTTCCTCAGACCTTGCTGGTTAATAAAGCCGAGAAAAAAAGAAAAGGTTATACTTGACTTAATTTCATGAAAACTCCAGTTGGAGATTGAAGGAGAGGCAGCAGCATATAGGGAAAGATACAGCGCTATCTCTTTTTTCCTGGTCAGTGAAGTTATTTTACCTTTTTTTCCTCAGGATCCTGTTCAATGTCCTCTTAGTGATCCAATCCCCAGATTTTACACAGAGCTGCAGCAGGTGACTCCTTACAGAAGAACACACCAAAGTTTATGAATAGGTCTCCACTAAGAAATAAGCTTAGAAGTATTTTTAATTTAATTTTTGAGAGACATCTTTTACATTGCAGAATAAAAGCAAGAAGATGTTAATGCACTTAATGTAGCACTACTTCAGCAGAGAAAAATAGAAAAACAAGAAGTAAAAAAAAAAAAAAAAAACAAAAACAAAAAACCTACAGCTGAAAACAGTTTACCCTCCCACTAGGTTAAAGCCCACTGAAATAAAGCCCAGGAGAGGAGAGAGAGGGAATAGCACAAAGGCTTCTGGGGATGGGAAGGCTTTAAAAGCTGAAGCAGCAGTTAAGTTGGCTGCTTTGCAACTGAGAGCAGTACTCAGAGTTAAATGAAGTTAAAAGTAACCTGTTTCCCCCCTTACCTGATTTAAATTGGTTTTCTTCTTCTGTCATGTGAGAAGTAATACCTTAGGGGAAAAAAAATGTTATCTTACATGGTTTATAGGAAACTTTCTTTCTTTTCATGGGAGTTTTGTTATTTTATGACAAGAGGCAATGTTTTTATTCTGGTAGCAATCTAGGTCTGTATTTGTTTAACCTGTATGTTTGCTTACAGACTGAGGTAAGGATTCCTTACAGTTTCCTCTGCCCTGTGTTGGTACCAAGATTGTGGTCTACTAGGAGCCTTCTCCTCCTGGTTTTGTTGGGGTTGGCCTTATGCAAGCTTATGACACTGCAGGATGCCTCTTGTAACAAAATAACTGTAATCTCCTGTTGTCTTTAGACTTCAGTCTCTACTTCCTGCTGCTATATTACATTATTGTGCTAAAGAAAGAAGTGGTTAAGGAATGAGCAGTAAACCCCCTAATAACTACAGAGGTGAGTTGTTATATGGGATATCTCTTGACCACAAATCCTAGCTGGTTATTAGTAGCTGGAAAAATGCCTTGCTTAAAGCTATAGAAGGCATTGATGCTGCAGCCTTGTACAATGATTGAGGATAAATAGATGTGGGGATCTCTGTGCAGCAATTAGCTTCTACATAATATCTTTATCCATTATTTTTTTCCCTGTTCAGTGGGGTAATCTGTTTATTTCACAAAGGTGTTATGGTGCTAAATTAATCTTAGTAAGCTATTTTATAGCCCTACCTAATATACTACGGAAATGTTGCTGATTAGCCATTTCTGTTGCTTGAATGAGGCTTTCATCAAACCATTAAGCTCTTATTTAACTTTTTTTTTTTTTTTTTTAAGATGCTGAAATACACTTTATTTGACACTTTTCTGTCTCCTCTGCTTCTGGCAACCTTCAAAATCCTCATCAAGCAGGTAAAGTACCCTAAAACAGAGAAACTGAGCCTCCTTTATCAGGAAATGTGTGTATTCTCCTACCTACCCACAAAGACATATTATAACTAACTGTGCAAGGATAGATTTGACGTGTGGTAGGCTTTACCACTCAGCAGAAAGCAGGGCCAAAAAGAGGCCATCTGCATTACTGGCCCACATCCAAGGGCAATGGGTGTAAAGGCTGTCCTAGCAGCTCACCTGTGATACAGCTTAACTAGCTGCTCCTGCCTCCTCCTGCAGCTGGAGGTCTGAGGATGGCTGTGTAAGGGGAAGGACTTGGAGCTGTGTTTGTGTGTGAGGCTTGCAGGCATTCTCAGCTAAAGCAAATACAGGTGAATCCAGTAATGGTGGTGATTGTGCATCTAAAAACAAGCCTCAGTTTATCCTGGTGTTGTCTACTGTCTATTGTTCAGCCTCACTTAAATACTAACACTTTACTTTTTACTCCCCCCAGTCCAAAAGGCAGTGAAGTACATGATATTTTCAAGGGCCCAGTTTGTTCTGACAGTATGTCACTAGCACAGGGCAAGGACAAAATACAGTATTCTCCCTGAACTTTAAACTTTTGGTCTATATTTAGGGAAAAGTTTTTTTTTTTTTTTTTTTTTTTTGATAATCAGCTTAGGTACTGACAAACTCAGTGTTTACACAGAAGTGTTCTGCCTAAGGTTTGGGTTTCTAATGAAAAACTGGCACTACACCTTTGTGTGAATATAACTCTCAGAGGAACTCAGGAATTACTCAAAAGGTGTTTATGGCTGATGGAGCAATGTGCTGTCACTGCAATCTGGTATCCTCATAGCCTCCTATCTGGGAGGAGCGTTGCCCTTTCTTCCTCATGAGAAATAGTGAGGGCTGGTCTATCTGGCTCTGACTAGACCTTATTTTGTCCTATCTGAACTTCTCCACGAGCTCTCAACACTAATGGTAGTACTTGCCCAAAATGAAGCTTTCCTTTTACTCTAAAGATGACTGTGGGTACACTCACATCAATCACATGGCTTAAAAAAGCTTAAGCTATTGGAGGGAGAAGGATGTACTGGGGGAAGATAGGAAGAACCATTTCAATTATAAAGGTAGGCAGATCTGTGCTTAAACATAGATCTTATATTTAATAAAAATGATGTAACTTAAATGAAGGGCCTGGAGTCAGAAAACCAAGGACAGAAGCTCAGGGACACAGTTGCAGCTTGCTGTTAAAAGCTTGCTGTTTAAACGGTCCTCAGCTGCTCTGGATGGAAGTGAGAAGCTCCCACTGCCGGGATGATGCCAGACCTTGTGTTATCTATCTGGAGCTGAGAATTGAAGTGAGGTGGCAGGAGTCAGAAGGTTTGCAGTCTCATTTTTAGGTGAAAAATAATACTGTGAAGGCATAAGCCATGAAAATGTTGATCCACTAGCCAGCAAAGAACTCATCAGAGACATATAAATACAACTTCACACACTTTAATGTGTGTAAACCATTCAGCAAAATAAATTATGCTACAGTGGCAAAGTAGTAAAAGGCCTTAAGAAAACTGAAAAAGCTTATAATAATGAAAGGCTATTCCCTGAGCAGTAGAAGAAATGTGTATTGCACTAAGTGATGGTGCTTTGTCAGCCTTGTGTGTGAAAAGAATAAGCAGAGTGAGTAAGCAGCGAGATAAAGAGGGTGGGCAGCAGTGTTACCATGATACAGTACTTAACTTGTCTCTCTGTGGTCAACAGGCTGATGGCTACACTAAAAGACAACTTCTTACTACTACTGCTCCCTGCTATTTTCTTAATATGCTACTGCACAGCCTGGAACTGGAAACTGATTAATTCCCAAAAGGCAAAGGGGCTGCCTAAAGAACAGTGCAGCACAGCTAACTGGGGATTGCAATACAAAGATGGATCTAACATATTACTTAGGTGCTCAGTTACAGCTATATGATTCAAGGTACTTTAAAAAAAATAAAAATCCTGACAGGCATCCTGCTAAATCATGTGATAATGCACAATATGAACATCACCCAGAATCATCATCAGCACTTCCTGCAGATTATGGGGAAAGATTTCATCATGCATGAAATATTGGGCAGGACTTGGCTATCTCATTCCCAGGAGCTGGTGCTTGGGTCTAACCACTGTACTCAAAGGGGCTTCTGCTTTGCAATCTTTCCCATTTGTAGGCATGGTCACTTCATGGGTCTGGCCCTCTCTAATAGACTAACCCTATGCATGGAACAATGCAAGAACACCACTGTCTTCCACAAGCAGATGAGGGATGACTCCCTCTGCTTTCCCTCTTTCCCCTTCATATACTGAGCCTGTGCTTGCCATCAGTAGGCAAGTGATGAGTGCCTGGATGGACACCAGATGCAAGGCTAAACCATCCAAATACAAGTGATTCTGCCCACAGAACAGGGAGGGAAATAGCAGAGAAGTATTTCTGCATTGACATGGGAGCCTCCTTAGGGAGGACTGCAGCAGATGAGTGCTCAGTTATTCCCTAATAGCCTTTTCTCCTTTCATGAGTTTTGGCTTCTCCAATTTTTTCCCAACCCAGACTGAACACAGCCCTCAGTGTAATACAGATGACTGCTTTCTTAGTAGGCAAAAAGGACTCTCCCTGAAGAGATTTCTGATTTCCTAGAGTGTGCCACTCTCCACAAGTGTGCAGACAACTCAGCACAAAAATAGTGATTGTGCCAGTATGCTCTCCTTATGCCCAATTGCAGCCTGTACCAAAGAATGAGGATATTCATGAAATGTCAAGTGCCCAGATCAGATGGTTTTGACTTGATTAGCTCTCCACTCAAATGCTGTCAAATCAGAAAATGACATTGTAGCTGACTGTTGAATGGACAAGGAGAAAATGTCATGGCTGCGTTTTACTCCCCAGGTATTGCAATTAAGACCAAAAGGGAATTCAATGAGAAGATGTCTTGCACTGATGGGTCCCTGAGTGAAAATGGCAGTAGAAGGAGCAAATTAGCTGATCTGGTAGCTTACACCTGACAGTCCATTCAAGAATTGATTGTGATTAGCTGTGCAGTTAAAAAAGATCGGGGCAGGTATTACTTGGTTGCATGATCCTGAAGAACACACTTTGTTTTGTAGCAGAGTTGAAATGCAGATAATGATCCAGAGCCAGTATGGTAAAGCTTTTAGATAAACATGCAATAGATGACAAGTGTCCTGTGGCAGCAATAGACTCTTGTGAATGGTGGAGAGAAGGTTAGATAGTGTCCAGCCCTACAGGATGTGGCTTAGTGAATGGCCAATAATTCCATTCAGTGCAGCTGATGCAGAAAAGGCATGCTCAAGTGCTGCATGTTAAGCTGTAAAAAGTGCAAGTGAGTGATTTTTTTTCTATGCATGCTGCCATCAGTGCCACCTGGATTTATTATTAGCACTCATTGTTACAAAGATTGCTCTCAGTGCTAGTGCATCAAGAGATCTAGCTAGCCCCACAGAAATTGTACTCAAAAAATAGCAGGGAAAAATTCCTTCTAGATATTCACATTCTCCTTTGCAGTGAGCTGGGTGGGAAAAGACACGCCAACCTCTCTAGCTCGAATCCTTCTTTTCCATCTTTTTTGGAGCATAGAGAACAGCAGTGCTGGGTCAGACCAAGGATCCATGTGTCCTTTATGCTGCCTCCAATACACAGAGAAAGAAGAGTGTGACAAAGTAGTGACACCTCTCCTGAAAACTCCCAGCATTTGTTTGACTTGGGAAACTGCTGGGTCAGGCACAGTGTCTATGTATTTATTAACTTCAGTAAACATCTCATTCATGGACCTTTCCAGATCTCCCGTGAACTTGTGTAAGCTCTTTGCATTCCCAGTGTCACATGGCAAGTTCTGCATCTTGACTGCCCTAAATGGGCACCTGGCTGATCAGGACTCAAAAACCAGCTTAGAACGAGTGAAGGTGCAATAGGCTGAATTACTAGATTTCTGCTTGATGTCTGCGTACTCAGGTTTAAAAACAAAAAAAAACAAAACATAAAAACAAAAACAAGCTTTTGAAGCCTGAGGGGAGAACATAGTTCTACCTTGGTGGTCATCTCCCTGAACTAAATCCAACCCGTATTTTATGGACTGAGAGGGTGAGGAGTGTCTCCTTAGTATTTGTTCCTAGAGAAAAGGAAAAGCCATGGAGCTAGATGAGAACAGCAAGGTTATCAAATGCTGCACCTATAGCTGTAGCTTATGCAGAATCACAGAATTGTCTAGGTTGGAAGAGACCTCAAGATCATTGAGTCCAACCTCTGATCTAACACTAACAAGTCTTCCACTAAACCGTATCACTAAGCTCTACATCTAAACATCTTTTCAAGACCTCCACGGTTGGTGACTCTACCACTTCCCTGGGCAGCCCTTTCCAATGCCTAACAACCCTCTCAGTAAAGAAGTTCTTCCTAACATCCAACCTAAAACACCCCAGGCACAACTTTAGCCTGTTCCCCCTCGTCCTGTCACCATGCAGCAAGTGCCTGTCTTTTAGAGGTACGTGGCACATCTGCTCCATGTACTGCTAGTCAGTACAAGCCACAGAATCCCTTCCTGGAGCCCTAAAGCAAGCTCAGACCAGCAGTACCTACTGCAGTGTATAGCAAAGAGGTAGCAGATGGTGAATCATTTTATGACATCTAACAAACTCTAAGGCACCAGCCTCTTTACCCCTCTCCTCAGCTACAAAGGGACTATCAGTTCTATCAACAGCTAGGAAAAGTCTGCCTGGAACCCCAGTACTGACCTTCAGTCCCCTTCTCATGGTCAGAGATTAGAGATGCTTAAGAAAAGAAAGCCAGTCTTTAACTTAATTACCCAATTACCTTTTGATAATTGGCCAATAATCTATTGAAGCAGACATTTCTATTTTTTTATTCCTCTTATATTTTTTCCACAAAACTAAGTTTGCTATGACTACAGCAAACAAACTCGCCATAAAAACTGCGTGAAGTGCAGACATCAGTCTCCACAGCATGTTATCACTGCTATTCATTTTCTATCATTTGTAACCTGAGAAAGAAAAGGACGTGCAGCACTGGGGACTACAGTCCTCCACTGACCACAGCGCCTTCCAGAGATGTACTCTCATCAGGCCAGGAATCACGTCAACATCCTCAAACTTTCCTGTCCTTGTCCCACTGAAATGAAATGGGAACAAAACTGAGGAGGTACTGTCTTCTCAGGTGAGTCTGAGGGAGGCAGGAAAAGTTGTGTACCCTGACAATGCTGGACAGCCAGAAAGTAGAGGCAAATCTTCCTCTCCAAAGATGAATAATGACTCTGCAAGTATTTACACTTGACTGCGAGTGTTTGCACTTGACTGAGATTGTTTTACAGAGTGCTGTGTGTCTTATGGTCTGCAGGACCAGTGATGCTAGGTCCCATTTCCTGCACGCCAATGCAGCTCTTCCTGCAGACTCTACAACGTGGGAACACAGAGGATACACGGAGTCCCCGGGAGCTCCTTTAGAAACCCCCTTTCTTCATACTGCTAGTGGAAGAGGTGTCATTTATCAGACTGTTTTATCATACGTTAAGATTTGTTAACCAATTAAAAACTAACCCCAGACACCTCACAAATAAAAATGTGAATGCCTGTGTTGATTAATTCACATCTACAAAACTTTTCAAGCATGCTGTAAGTCTAAATGAGGACCCAGGACAAATCTAAATAATCTGTGCAATATGTAGAGCACATTCTGATGTTTATAAGGGGGTGGGGGAATCACATCTATTACTTGGTTAGAATGACCATCTTATATTTACGACAAAGATGCATATTTATTTATATACCCTTAAACTACTGATTTTTTTTTTAACCTCTGAAAGCAAGAACTGGTATCTACAGCCAACCTCCCCTTTCCCACTTTAGCATCTTTGAATGGTACCTGAAATGCTGTCATCATGCTGTCATGTAGCTGGTACCTGCGTCTGCAACTCTGTCTCTGACTTCCTGTTTGCTTTTTGGAAACTGTTGAATGCTTCTACCTTGAAATCCCTGAACAGGCCAGTCCTTGGCTGACACAGAGCTTCATCCTTCTGCTATATGCTGTCCCAGTGGAGGAAAGCAGCTGGAGATCCTTTGTACGTTGGGATAAGGACCTCAGTGTTCTGGAATATCCTTTTACATGGGACAAAAAAAAATACACTAAGTCCAGCAGGTGGTACTGGGCTCCTCTGTAGGTCAGCTGACTGACTGAGGGTATCAGCACTGCATGGAAAAGGACTTGAGATGAATCAGCAATATAATATGTCTTCACTGTAACGTGTATGGGGGAGTGTGAGCAGAACCTCTGTCTGGACACAGTGACAGCTGCAAAACAGCCCAGCAGGATGTAGTGGTGGTATGGCCTGCTTACAAATGAAATAGTAAGGCTGAACAATTGCAAAGGAACCATCACAACTGTTGTCCTATGGTAACTGCTCTCTCTGAATCACATCTTAATCTTCTCAGTTTGACTTTCTCCAGAGCTTACATATATTAGCATAATCATTCTTGCATTTCTAACGTTCAAATCTTCTTCTTAACCTCGTGCAGCCTTGATCCAAAAGCTTTTCAAATTTCTACAAGAAATCAAGATTTTTATGTAAGCAGCAGTGAGAGATTTAGTTTTTCTAAATAGATATGCAATAGTCTCATTGCTCTGGCTGCTAGTGTAGAATCAATTTGTGACACAGGTTATATTTTTTTTAGCTGAAGGCAATGGTGTATGTTAGCTGAGAATGAATTACCCTGTTGTAGAGCCTGTAGAATGGGGGTTATTGCTGCTAATACACTCCTATCCTGCATGCACACAGAGCAAACTTCTGTTACCAGATTTAGAACAAAGACAAGCAACAACGTCTAAGTTCATTAGGTGGTACCTCAAAGCCCAAAGTGCGTGTGTGTGCAGAGTATCTTACCCACTTCAACAGGAATTTTGCCTATTAGGAAGTAGACTCATGTAAATGCTGTTACATCATTTTCAGGATTCAGGAGTGGCAAGCAACCCACCTTAAAGATACCTCACTGCATAGTCCATGCCTTGAACTCCAACACAGAGTAAATAAATGCTAGATTATCTGATGACAAAAGTATAAAAACTGCACTGGAAAAAAGGGATAGTGGAGGGGCAAAACCTGTGGTTTTATCTCACAAAGACAGCAAATCTCTTCTAGACTGACAAAGACTAGTCTGTTGAAATATTTTACCACTTTCTGGAGTTTAGATACCAAAATCAATCCTACTTAGTATATTAGATCTTTACCTAAATAACTGTAAAGGAGATGGAAGACTTGGCCCTCAGAACAGGATTTCCAAGATGCCTTCAGTCAGACTCCCACTGCTTGTTACTGGAACACGGCAGGGAAAATCTTTCATTTTACAAAATGAACACTTCAGGGTATAAATTGCTGTGCTTGAAGGATACTTGCGGGTATGCTGATGAAGAATTAGGGCAATAAAGTACAGTGCTGCTCCTCCCTTACTTCCTCTGGTACTATCACGTTTTCAGTGCTCAGAAGGGATGTCCAAATTTGTCTCTTCTATGAGGTAATCCTTTTTAATTCATCTATGTATTTAGTGCTGTCTAGCTTTCCTTTACACATCTTGAAGCCTGATCCAACCAGAAGACAATTCTGACTACATCTTCAGTAAATGAAATTAGCAAGTTGCAGCTGAAGTCTGGCCAATCTTGTATTACTCACAAAACACGATTCCTGGCTCTGGTGTGCTATTTGTGGTTTGGGAGGCTGAAAGCACTGGTTTGAGTGTTGGTGCAGGTTCTTTAGGCCAGACCTTACTTGCTTGCAGTTCTCTCTGTCTTAGGAAAAACAGAAGAACAGTTTCTAAGAAATAAGCTGAGACTCTCCAGAAAGAAAAGATATGCAACTTTCTCTAAATGGCCATAATAACTAAAAACCAAAACTAAAAACCAACCTAAAGAGTAACACTTCTGATTTGATCCTTTCATGCCACTAGTTTTAACACAGTCATTTTTTTTTTTCTTTTTTGTCAGTATTGATTCAACAGCCTTTTCTAACGGTAAATTCAAAGGAATGAAATTTTGCTTCTAAAAATATTCTAAATCACTGACGTATATAACATTCTCAAATTGCACTTGAGGAGAAAT